TTTTCCATCATCTGTCTCGTTTATAAAAAGCACTGTTTAACCAACAAAATATTTTCTCAATTGTCTTTAAATAACTGTATGGTAACTAAAGTGTATTTCCTCATGTTTAAATGAACTTAGGCCTATCCCATAGCTTGGTTGGTGGTACTCTGAACTAACAGTGTGTTGCTGTGGGGTGTGCTGAGCAAAACACTCACCCAGACTAAACTACCGGTAACCCTTCTTGCCTGGGGATTATTACCTTCAAATTGTGGGATATAACATAAAGGATCTTATTATTGTATCAGTATTTTAATTAAATTTTGAATTCATTACTTAAAAGAGCAGAACTTTACAATGTGCCCATAACCTAACCCAAATTCACTATGAAGAGAAATGTTAACTTCCTTGGGGGCTGAGCACTACTTAGCGTCCACCTCTAAACATCATACAGACAACAACAGTCATCCGGCATTGCCTCGCTCTATAATCAAAACTATGTTCTATGGAATTTGATTTCAAACAGTACATTTTAATTTCAAATCATGGTAATCTATTTTGGTGAAGCTGCTGGCAACTCAACAACCAGTTACAGTTAACGGGACGTGTAACATTGAGTCATGGAAGAACCCCGGAAGACTAAACATCTCACTGTCTACTGAAATATCCTACACCTTCCTTCACATTATGCTGCTACACTCATCACATCTTTTAATAAAATAATGTTTCACCACGGTAATAATTTCTTCAACTTCCTTATAAATTCGGTCTCATCTCACACGGAAATTTTCCTTATTTGCCCATTTGCTTAATTTCCTCTGATGTTTGGTCAATATCAAACCTCAAAAAACACTGAAACATTGGAACATCAGTTACTATCAATTTGGCTGACACTTCGAACTTTGTGAAAATTATTTGATGGTCTAAAGGAAAATAATCTATATACATTAGTATTGTCCATCTGTGTGTGGTGTGAAGGTGTAGCAATCCCAAAGAAAGAGGAAAAGAAAGAAAGAGAATAAATACAGATGTACGTACAGTGTATACAAAATATTAAAGAGGTAAATATGTTTAAGCTAGAGAAAGTATATTCTGAATTTGTTTCAAATATATTACTACTGTAACTCTGGAGCTGCTCACAAGTCCTAACATGACACACAGTACAATACAGTACAGTATACAGTACAGTACAATACAGTACAGTACAGTACAGTAGAGTACAGTAAATGGTGACATGTCAAATTAACCTGAGTCTAGGACTGGGGACTAATGTGGTTGGATTAGACCTCAGTCTTAATGGTCAGGATTGTTTGAGGTCTATTAAAGTTAGGGTTCATTTGACCAATCATAAAAAGGTCATAAATTTTTATGCAAGGTGTTTATTCTTTCACAATCAATCTGTAAACTTAATAATCTTTTCCCCAAAAATAGATTTTCTTTATACAATATGTATAATTGTGTGTACTTTTGAACCGTCAGTACAGTGTATAAGTTTGCTGATGTGTATGAATGAACCATGTCTCAATAAATGTACTGTACAGTATTTGTGCTCAGATGTGTGTCTTTTTAAGTATAATATGTGGATGTGCTTTAAGCTGACTAAACCTTCCAATTATTTGTTATGAGTTAACAAGTGAGTCTTTAAGGTGTCAATACGTGCGGCACGGTACGTACACAGCGTACAGGCAAATGGTTTTTCTCCGGTATGAATACGAACATGAGATTTAAGGTTTTCTTTGGAGGCTGAACAATAGGAGCAGTATAAGCAGGAGTATGGTCTCTCTTTTGTGTGAGTTCTCATGTGGCTCTTTAGGTTGTCCTTGGTGGTGGAGGCATGTGAACAAAACTGACATGAGTATGGCTTTTCTCCTGTATGTGTGCGCATGTGTCTCAGTAAATGGGCATAATTATTAGTACTGTAGGTACAATAAGAACACTTGTGCATCTTGCGGGTGGTGGCAAGCTCCTTCCAAGGATGTAGGTCTTCCCTCGTTAGAGTCGAATCGCCATCATCACTCATGCCCACCTGTAGGGGATACCCAACTTATTCTAAGGAATGAGACTTCAATTGTTTTCTGCAATATTCAGTCAAGAAAATATAAAACAATGGGCACAGTTGAGTCTTGTGTTTTATAAGAAAAACAAACAAGTTACCTAACAAATTATTTCATAATTTCAAATAAGAATGTACAGTACTGTATGTAAATTAACTACACAATAAAACGATTTTAATTTTGTAAAATCCTTGCAGAATCTTAGTAGCTACGTCATCTATAATACACAGCAAAACAAATAATACATTTCTGCATATACTTATAGTTCATTATATGATGTTAGCTGTTTGTTAACAATGATGATCTACTCATAATTTGATATAGCAAAATGACCCATAACTCTCTACCAAGAGGTAAGGGAAAAATATAGCCAAGGTTATAAAAGTGACATCTTATACACAATGTCAATTACAACAAAAGAACATATGTTATAGATTATACTGTGTACTGAAGTTCACTCCGACTACACGGTACATAACATATGAACTACGCAGGGCCAACATGTAATGGCTGAAACTCCCCATCACAGATCACGAGTAAATCACACAAGATTGGGTTGTGTTACAATAAGTCCAATAGAACTCTAGTCTAGGAGTGAGATACCGCCAGCTTTACCAGATACTGCTGCTCCATTTTACACCCGGCACGCCTAAGAAACAACGGATGAAATGACAGACAAACCCCAAACGACAAGTTGGTATTTTCCTTTTTAAAATTCAATGTGGATGGTGTTGAGTGTTGTTGGATTATCACCAAATGTACTCATGTGTGAGTTTGTGTGCAAGTTTTTAGCAATGCAGAAGAGGTAGTTTAAATAGGGGAAGGGGCACATCAAATTAATAAAACAGATAGACAACTATAGGCAACTTTTGTCATCTTACAGTTGAAGTTTTCAAGACTAAAAATTGTGCAGCTAAGGAACTTTTATTCCTTAAGTGTTTAAGTTTGGAGAATAAAAGTTGTCTAAATAAAGATACATTATACTGGAGGGAAAACATTATGCTGTACAGGATGTTTAATAATCTAAAACAATCAAAGACAACCTGAACGAAATATGTTAGAACATTATGTGATGTTGAGTAAAACAAAAAAAAACAAAAAATACAGTGAACCCTCACTTTACGCGGTTAATTCAACCCACAGGGTACCGCGGAAAGTGAGAAACGCGTAAAGTGAACAACATAACATATGGGATTAATTGAAATAGAGACCGGGCCGACCCCCAAACTCCACTTTTTCCGACACAATACCCACGTTGTAGTAAAAATAACTTCTTAATTTTATGATGGTATGCACACACAATTAATAATTAAGAGAAATATCAATATTATTAGGTTTTTTAACACTTACATTAGTAGAAAAGATGGCTGGGCACACGGGGATGGGGGGTTGGTTCCGAGGCAGAGGGCAGATTATTGGCCCTCACCTGTATCACTTGTATCAATTGTATCACTATCCACCACAGAGGCTTGCAGGGCCTCTTTGTCAAACCCCTCAAAGTCCATATCCTCACTATAATTATCACTATCACTGACTTGGGCCAGCTGTGGTGGGTGGCGGGTGAAGAACTCGGTAATGTTTTGATGACTGGGCGACCTTGTGCGCACCCTGTTCACACGCTTACACAACATGGCGGATGGCAGGAGAGGGCGGGAGAGATGGCAGGAGGTTTGAATCCAAAAATGGCGCGGCTCGCCAGCCGCTCTCCGCGTAAACGGGTACACGCACCGCGGAATGTGAGCATTCCGGTTTTGGCAGGGTACCACGTAAACGTGGAAACGCGGAATGTGGGACCGCATAAAGCGAGGGTTGACTGTATATATATATATATATATATATATATATATATATATATATATATATATATATATATATATATATATATATATATATATATATATATATATATATATATATATATATATATATATATATATATATATATATATATATATATATATATATATATATATATATATATATATATATTTTGTATACAGGTGAGAGTGTAAGAAGCAACTGATTGGGTAACCAGATGAAGGTAGACCTCAGAGATGTTGACCTATTGTGTGGTGGAAGAATATGGGAGCTGTCAACATTGCTAAGAGAGAGATATAACAGAAGAGATGCACATTCAGCCATAAAACAAACACACTTGGATATATCTGTCACTGATGGAGCTACAGTATTAGGTGGACTAGTATAGGACATGAGGTAACTCACTATCTGTTGAATGCTAGTTCTCAGGGAATGAGGTGCCTGGCCAACCTGCATAGCCATCATAAGAGGAAAAAACTTGGTGCCAAATATAAAAATGATGGCAAAAAGATAATATAACTGAGTACCCTGAAGATTGAGCCAACTTAGCGGATGAGAAATATGCAATGGGTACATTTGTGTTTCTGGTACTGTAGGCATATTTGCCTGTGTGTTCAAGTGTACAAAAATAAGTACAGTATTCCAAAATAAAAATAAAAACATAATATGAACAAAAGAATCTTTCAAGAGGAAATAATCAATCGGTAATTACTATCCATTTTATTTCATCAAATAAAACGTTTATCTTGTTACCCAGAAAGTTACTTACATTAAGTTATATTTTTTCTTCAAAATGCATTCCATATGTCACTCTACATTTTTGTACTTTTATCTTTTTTACCATAATGTCAATTACTATCTACAGTACCTATACATTGAGCCAATCTCACTCAACAGAAAATACCACAAGAATTTTTAAATGTTCAGGAAATTCAGTGTTTCTTTGTTATGCAGGAATCAACAAATATTTTATCTAAATGAATGTTCAATACAGTACAGTACAGTACAGTACAGTACAGTACAGTATAGTACAGTACAGTACAATACAGTACAATACAGTACAGTATAGTACAGTACAGTACAATACAGTATAGTATTGCACAGTATAGTATAGTACAGTACAGTACAGTAAAGTACAATACAGTACTGCACAGTACAGAACAATACAGTACAGTTACAGTACAATATAGTATAGCATGTGTACAGTACAGTACACATATTCACAAGAAGCACTATTTATAAAACCCATTTTGCATATAAATAATTTCACTACAAATACATGAATAAAATTGTCCAAAAAGTGGCATCATACATCTTAATACTGTACAGTAGTACCATACCTATGTCCCAGCATTAGGACTGATGAGTCAGAACGTGGGTCCTCAGAGTATCCTTCCGGGCAGAACGATACGGGCAATATGGACACAAAAACGGTTTCTCGCCAGTGTGAGTACGAATGTGTGTCTTTAAATATTCTTTTGAAGCCGAACAATAGCAACAATATGGGCAGGAAAATGGTTTTTCACCGGTATGGGTACGTATGTGTGTTTTCAAGTTTTCTTTAGTTGCCGAACAAAACGAACAATAAGGACATGAAAATGGTTTTTCGCCAGTATGAGTACGCATGTGGTTCTTTAAGTTAGTGGTAACGTGGGAGGTGTAGGGACAGTAGGGACACTGGTGAGTCTTGACGGTTATTTGACCCGGCCGGCCTCCAGCAGTTCCTCCTCTTCCGGTCCATTCATCAGCTCTGTCCAGCCCCACCTGTAGGGAACGCCCGACTTACTTAATCTTCCAGTAAACTCACGTTATGAGAACTTCTATTTTAAGTGTGTGTAATATATATATACAGTATATATATATATATATATATATATATATATATATATATATATATATATATATATATATATATATATATATATATATATATATATATATATATATATATATATATATATATATATATATCTTGTTTAATCTCCCTTAATTTCTTCATCTACTGTACTACACAGTATAGTACTGTATTAACTCGTGCACTTTCACTGTAATTTTTTTTAAACTTTTACTTACCAACCAAGAAAAAAGTTGCTTTGTTTTCAAATATGTGTCCTTTAAAATTTTTCAACTATGATAAAGGCAAAATTAAAAGAAAATCCCCAAACACAACCATAATACTGTACTGTATTATACAGTAAAAGGTTGAGCAGATGATCCACCATCATGGACAGTAAAATAAATGTTACTTAATTTGTCTAGTACAATGGGTTTGTTTGAGGCTCTGCTGACAACACACAATACAACACTAAATTTTACTTGTGCATTTTTATTTCTCGAAATAAATTTAGCTAAATTAAACAATAGTTATTAGTTCAGACTTAAATACAAGAGCATTAAAACCTAGTAACCAAGGTGTAGCCTTCAAAAATAAAATTAATGGTAAATTAATATTGTAGACTATAAGCTATCTAAAAGTCATATGAAAAATATTGCAGTTTATCTGGATTATATTATACTGCAATGAATATCTTATATGGTAACATGATATCAGTTTTAGTCAAGATTAAGGAAAACTTTCTCACAGATATATACGTTAAGTCTATTTGAACATGATCTTGTATGTTTATAAAGTTTATCAATTGAATAGCATTATTACAGTATCATTATTGTTATTTTGTTTTGTAAGAAACATTATTTCACCATGACTGTGTCTCTGTTTTGTTATAACGAGAAATAATTTTTTTAAACTTGATACATTTATATATGCAGATGATTTGCGTGTGAACAGTAAATTAAATTATTTTACTGATGTTATACAGTACATAATTAAAATTTCGTTAAATTTCCACATACACGAAGAATAAATAAAATACTTCTATAATTTCATCTGTATACGTATACAGTTGGCCACAGGTATAGTGCTCCACCCCTCGCTGGCCTTCCTCAAAATGTGGCATCGTGGGAATCAGAGTGGAACCTTCTTTACAGATATTACATCTATCACATCACTCAGCACAAATGTCAAGAACAAATATTACTGAAAAAATATACAGTATAGTCTGGATTTAAGCGGTTTTTGTTTACGCGTTTGGTCATTTACGCTGTGCCTTGCGGGAAGCAGCTCGGGCAGGGTGCGCACAAGGTCGCCCAGTCATCAAAACATTGCCGAGTTCTTCGCCCGCCACCCACCACAGCCGGCCCAAGTCAGTGATAATGAGGATATGGACTTTGAGGGGTTTGACAAAGAGGCCCTGCAAGCCTCTGTGGTGGATAGTGATACAATTGATACAAGTGATACAGGTGAGGGCCAATAATCTGCCCTCTGCCTCGGAACCAACCCCCCTTCCCCGTGTGCCCAGCCATCTTTTCTACTAACGTAGGTGTTAAAAAACCTAATATTATTGATATTTCTCTTAAATATTAATTGTGTGTGCATACCATCATAAAATTAAGATGTTATTTTTACTACAACGTACATATTGTGCCGGAAAAAGTGGAGTTTGGGAGTCGGCCCGGTCTCTATTTCAATTAATCCCATATGTTCTGTTATTTCATTTACGCGTTTCTCGTTTTACGCGGACCTCCACGGGTTCAATTGACCGCGTAAATGCAGACTATACTGTATTGTATTACTGGTCACATGTTAAAGGCCAGCGAGGGGTGGAGCATTATACCTGTGGCCAACTGTACATATACTGTATCACAATTACACAAAATCATACAATTGTATTTCCTCTTTCTAATACCTGTAATGTACAGTATTTATCTGTAAACAACACATACTAGTAAATATTCAAGGCTGTAACGGTAAAATGAGTAAAACATTTATGTATGTTCATAAATAAAAGTTTTCGAGATAATTTAAGTTCTATTATTTTCAATTTCAACATAGTAATGTATCTAAAATTGTATACACCTGTCAGCCAAAACTTATACTGTATGTATGTATTGTATTATCTCTTATTAGGAAACATAAAAATATCACTTGTATTTACTGTGAAAATCCTCCAACTTTAAACTTATCAGTGTCTCTTATTTCTGGTCCCCTCTAAGTACAGTACGTCCCTTTATGGATGGAAAGTGCAGACTCCAAAACTGAATATTTCCACCAGTGAATATACTTCTTAAAGCATATCACTATTAATTCCTGTACATCTAATTATTAAGAGAACAAAAATGTACGTGAGTGTGTGTGTGTGAAATAGTAATAACAAATAAAGCTAGGATATGAGTAAATAACACAACCAGGATACTGAACTGACATCCTCCAATAATGAATCAGCTTTTTTGGGGTCAAATTGAAAGCCTGCTTAACCTGTCAAACAGTTTATAAGATTTCTGTTTGGTATGCATAGGAATAATAAGATCAAACAATTTACCTTGCCTATGGCCGAGTCCCTTAATGAAGACTCCATTTCCGTTCATTGGTGTAAGAAAAAGTTACCACATCCTTCACAATGACCGGTACAGTTTTATCGTTCTCTCTCTCTTCAATATAACTTTTTCTTTATACGAAGGAATTATTCAGTTTCTAAGCCTAACAAGGCTTACAGGAACTATCTTAGCTGCAGTACTGGAGACACAGTACAGTATTATACATTATAAAAAAATCGAATTTATTGCGCTTCATTTTGTTGAAAAGTTAATTTACTGAAATTTCTTATTGAGTTGTTTTATAATACAGCACAGCTACTGTACTTAAGGTAATTTTTATAATTTGAAGACTGTTACATAGAATGTGTTGAGTACTGATAGTAAGATAGTAATAAATATCCAATGCTATTCACTTTCATTAAAATTAAATGAGCTATTGACAAACTTTTCTTGTCTTTAAAAACTACAAAAAAGCTTTTCTGCATTAAAATGGACATGCCTGGCACATCACTGAGTTAGCTAATTATTGTACTGTACTGTACAATTATTGGCTTTTATTAAATTACATATAGAGTACGTACTGTACCGTATTAACACAATGCTTCAAACAGTTTTCCTGTGCAGCTTTACAAATAACAATGTACCCAAATCCATTATAAATCACATAAGCTAGGTATGGTGAGTCCAAACATGCCCTTTCAGCGTGTCCTTTCGGTTGGAGCGATACGGACATATGTTACATGCATAAGGCTTTTCTCCCGTGTGGGTGAGAACATGTCTCCTTAAATGATCTTTTTTAGAAGTGGAGTATGGACAGTGAGGACAAAGGAATGGTCTCTCTCCAATATGCGTGCGCATGTGGTCAATCATGCGAGCAGTAACAAGAGTCGAGTAAGGACAATGAGGGCACTGATGTTTCTTCACGCCGACGACGCTGCCTTTTCCCGATCCCTTGGCTCCTCCTTCATCTGTCACTTGACCACCACTGTTCAGCCTCACCTGTAGAGGATGCCATCTTACTTATGAATTCAAGGAAATTAACTTATCAAAAATACAGAAAATAAAAACTAGATTTATAAAAATCAGAAGTAAATGAAATATTAGTTAGTGTGACTCCATTTTGGATAATAAACCACTAGGTACTAACTTAAAAAAATAAATTAATGTACAAATCTCTAACCTTAATATTTTGATAAGTAAATAGTATTGTAACAAATTATGTAGTCTTTGTATACAAGTAGCTTCTGCTTACATAAAAAATGGTAATACAATATATATATATATATATATATATATATATATATATATATATATATATATATATATATATATATATATATATATATATATATATATATATATATATATATATATATATATATATATATATATATATATATATATATATATATATATATATATATATATATATATATATATATGTATGTATATATATAGTATACATATACAGTATATGCAGATTTAAGAATTCAGTTAAACTTTATGATAAATTCTTGTTTTCAAATTTTTAAAACAATGTACAATTTAAATTGGGCTGATAAATATTTTAATTATCTTGAAATATTTCCCTTGTACAGTACAGTACAGTAATGAAGTTCTTCTAAGATGACTCTTCATGGCATTATTCAAATAATATCATCTGTGCTGTCATTATGATTGCATTGGCCTGTTAATGTCTTCAATTACCTCAATGAAGCAATTAATGGAGCTTCATGACAAGAGCAGCACAAACATTATCACACACAAAGAATGTGAGGATGATGCAGCTCTACAATATTATAATGTCTTCAATACCCATGACTTAAGGTCTTTGCTTAGTTACATCAGTACTGTACTGTCCTGTACATACAGTAAGCATTTCTCACTCAGACATAATTTATGCCACATTTTTACGCTAAAATACGAGGAAGGCGGTAATGATCTTGACTCCCACCCACCAGGTGAGGTCAGTAGATATTATACTGTTTTAAAGAGCTCAAAATCCCAAGCTGAGGTAACTCACTGTGCTAGGTTGAAGTCCTGAACTAAACCAAGATTATTCACTGTCATTTACTTCACAAAGCTTAGATAACTAATAACTAACACATTCTAGACCCCAAAGTAAGATAACATAATTCATATATAAATGACACTCTCAAGACCTCAAAGTAAGACGACATATTCATGTTAAATCCCAAACTATTTTTTTCCTTGACATTTTCAATCCATAAAGAATAGACAAGTAAATAAGGAATATAGCTATCTTCCATCTATAATATTCATTCAATAAGACCTTCAGAAAAGGTGTAAAATGGTTTGGTTTTGTAGTGTCATACAGGGCACAGTACAGTACACTCTCAGTTATATTTTCAACAAATAACCTCTTAAGAATCCTGTTGTGAACTGAAATGTACAAAACAGGAACTTAGGTTGAAATAAAGTCAACTGGGATGTACCAGTATCAATAATATTCCTTCTGTGACTATTTTCAAAACAATAAACAGAGCTACATGAAAATGGCAGCTAATTTGTATTTTTGGGTGGTAACTTTTCAAGTTATGTTCTCTCTCACACACACACACACACACACACACAATAGTATACAGTACAGGGTATTTAAAATTTGAAAAATGGCTCCTTCAAAAATTATGCAAAACAAGTAAAAGATGCATCTTCTACATGATGCACTCATATTAAACTACAGCAACAATCACAAACTGGTACTGTAACAGTACATATTCATTTTGAGTTTCATCTGAGGCCGACAACATTCTTCTGAAAGATACTCTTTCCTAAATACTGTACTAAATAATTTTAATATTACTGTAATTTAATAAGAACTTAAAGTCATCACACAATGCTTCCTGATAACACTATAGGTTAACAAATATAGTACAGTATGTATAGCACAGTACTGTAATCTCAAATATAGTCAAGCACACGGTAAACACATGTACTGTGTACAGTACAGTACGGTAGTGATGCTGTCGAGACACATAAATCCCCCCCCCCTATCCTCCTCCACAGAAAATAAAGAAAGTAATTTACAATGCAAACTACAAGTCACTTCTTCAATTCTATTAGTTATACATAATTTCTAATATGTTACCATCACTCAGTTATTTTAGGTTCTGTCACTTACCTATAATAACTGTCTTATTTTGTGATACTGTAATGTATAGTATCATATAACCTTCTTTCATCATGATAATTATAGTTATATTCTTCACCGGCAAGATTTCCAAAGTAAAGCTTAGTCTGGGATGAAGATGTATACAGTGGTTTAAGATGAAGGAAGGAAGTCTCCAGTAATGTTGGTGTTGTTCAAGTTCTGGCAAAAGGTTTAATGCAGAATATAGTTTAATGAGTTGAACAATAGTGCACAGTAATAGTAAAACTAGCATTACTGGGACAAGCTTCTAAGTACCATAGACCAGAAAACTATCAATCATTTAAGTTTTATAGGAGGACATTTTTAGTGGAAGTGAGCAATGTGAGCTGACCAACTGGGGAACAGTTGTATTAAAAATTGCTGATAAGGAAAGTTTGATGGCTGTAGACCGACACTTATTACTGCATCATTCACTTCACTCTACTACTTCATGCTTCCTCAGTATTATATTTCTTAAAATCTTCTTTAGATTCACAATACTGTATATACAGTATATACTGTACAGTATACTGTATAAATATACTTTTAACTTGTATTTAACATGAAAATCCATTACGTTTGTCCAGTTCCATTTTCTTTTTATTGCAATCAAGAAAGGAAGCTCTCTGAACACTAATGTATTGTCAGTACAGTACTGTATCAGTTCATCTGAGCCAATTGTATGATACAACAGTCAACACAAAATCCCTGATCTCCCCCATCAGATTAATAAGCCAATCTAATAATGCTACATATGGAAACAAAGTTATGTACAGCACTGTACAAACAAAACTTTAAAGCTAAAAGAGTCAATGTAATGTAGAGTGGTTACCTATGTTACCTTATTTTTGGTGTGTCCACATATGACTTTTAAGGTTGCTCTTTTGTGCAGAACGATATGAACAGAAAGCACAAGCGTACGGTTTCTCTCCGGTATGAATACGAATATGTGCTTTAAGGTTTTCTTTCTGAGTCGCTCTAAATGGACACTGAGGACAAGCAAATGGCTTCTCCCCCGTGTGGGTTCGAATATGATTCATCAAATTTGTCGTCGTTGTAGCAATGTACGCACAGTAGTAGCACCGGTGAATCTTGGTTGGAAGGCTTTGCTCTGCTGCTGTGAATCCTCGCCGGCCAATCCTCTGATCATTGGTGGCCAGACCTACCTGTAGGGGACGCCTGTCTTACTCAGGGTCATGAAAAATTTACAAAGTTTCCAAATGTAATCTGTGATTTATGAATACAGTAACTGTGATTTCCAAAACAAAAACAACATCTAATCAAACCAAAACCAAGAACGTCTATCAATAATTTGTATTGATACAAAAATCATTATAAGTTAAAGCAACAACAGTAACATAGAAGTCAGTCTCCTATCACGTAGTTTATCAGTGATAAAAATACTGTAATGCAAGAAGGTTTTTAACTACAGCAAGTGTCCACCATAAGTGTAACTGTACAGTATATTGATAATATAAAAAAAACATAAAAGGAAGAGAGAAAATCACAACACTGCCATTAATGGAGCAAGTCCGACAACACCGCACCCATTTGGGGTTTTTACCGGCATTTCTGCATTCTGCTCTGTATATTTTGCCTTGCATTAAAGTCTGGAAAAATTTTAAACTTGGAGTAGAGTAGAGTAGAGGACTGTACTACAAAATGCACATTGTAAGTGAAGGGTTCACAAAACCATTGTCATACTTACTATGGATAGTCCTGGAAGAAGGTAGAAAAACTAGTTGTTGATGTCAAGGAAACTCCTTGGGGCACCAGTGGGTACAGTATAGAAAACTGTAACATAGGTTTACTGTACTTTGTGTATATTGGTGATACTCTACAATTATTTTAATTTTTTAACTAAACCCAACAAGAAAGTTTCCAAGTACTGTACTGTATATGTACAGTACAGTAAATTCCCATTAAACTGGGTTCAACTTAGCCAGAAATCTAAATACTGCACCAGTACAATCCTGGTATTTCAACTTGTGGAGAATTAGTCTGGTCTTAGTTCATATTGATGTCATGTTTCATTTATAATCAACCAACAAAAATCAGAGAAATCTAGAATATTACAGATTAAAACAAATATTGAGCCAATCTACTGGGTTTTCATAAGTAATTGTTACATCTTGATTAAGAATGCAGTTCACTTGAGCAACTAACTGTTTTGTTAATTGATGCACACGCACGCACGCACGCATGCACACAGGATTATAACAGTGTGTGTGCTTCTTACATCACAAGTAACTAAGGTTCTGGGAACTTGTGTAATAGTCCCAACCAATAATGATATAAGTGATGGACAGAATACTGGATACTGACATGGTGTTTGTGCCATTATAAACTCGTGTCAACAAGTAGTAATGTGCCGTACATGTTCAATTTTGCCTTTTCTACAAGATCATTACATCATATGTCCTGCTGAAAGACATATTGCCTAATTATTGTGAACCTGGTGGAATACAAAAGGAGAGGAGAGGTAGTCACAAAAGGCATCAAAGATTACCATATATTTTTT